ATCTTTAATTAGATTTGTGGGAAAGATTTTTTTTTCTATAAAAATAGACAAAGAAGCTGGTTGGTGGTGGCACATGCCTTTAATCCCAGCACTCTGTGAGTTTGAAGCCAGCCTAGTCTACAGAGTGAGTTCCAGGACTTTGGCTACAAAGCTACTAGGAAACCCTGTCTCAGAAAACAAAACAAAAAAAGGCAAAATGATAATAGGAAGTAGACTGTTTTACTGAGTTACTGCTAAACTTTTCTTTCCTCCCCTGAGTCAGGGTTTCTCCTTGTAGCTCTAGCTCTTCTGGAACTAGCTCTGTAGACCAGGCTGGCCTTGAACTCATAAAGATCTATCTGTCTCTGCCTCCTGGGGAGTACTGGGATCAAAGGTGTGCGCCACCACTGCCACTGGCTCTGAGTTGCTGCCAAACTTTAAGATAGGACAATAGAGTTTGAAAGAAAATTTGAGCTCAACAATGAATTAATTTCTTTTTTTTTAAAGATTTATTTATTTATTATGTATACAACATTCTGCCTCCACCTATTCCCACATGCCAGAAGAAGGCACCAGATATCATTACAGATGGTTGTGAGCCACCATGTGGTCGCTGGGGATTGAACTCAGGACCTCCAGAAGAGCAACCAGTGCTCTTAACCACTGAGCCATATCTCCAGCCCCATGAATTAATTTCTTTTAGGAAATTCTTGGTTAGAAAGTTCTAACACTTTTATTAGATCCAGGTGTGGTAGTTGACATCCGTGATCCCAGCACTTGGGAGTCTGATGACTACTGGTTTGCATCCATCCTGAGTTACAGAGTAAGACTCTGTCTCAGGACAAACAAGCAGACAAACAAAAAACACCCAACAACAAGAACAAAAAAGTAAAAACTCCTGTGTAGAAAACCAGGGCTGCTGGTTGTGGTGGCACACGCTGGTAGGATTTGCTGAAGGAGGCAGAGGCAGGAGGATCATGAGTTTGAGGCCAGCCTGGGCTACACATTAAAAGAAAAGAAAAGAAAAAACCAGGGCTAAGCAGGTCCAGGGGAACAATATTTGCTTAGCTTTTCCTAGGCCCTGACAGTGATCCCCAGCAAGGGCTTGTGGAAAGGGACAGGAGAGTCTACCAGCTTTTAGAAATGATTTTGAGCAGAATCTTGTTACTTACATTGTGCTTCGTTTTTTATTTTTTAACCAAGGACTGCATTATCTGTTTGACTTTGGTTTTTGTTTGTTTGTTGTTGTTGTTGTTTTAAGTCAAAACCTTGTTTTAGTACTGAGAAGGCCAATTTAGGAGTGTAGTTTGGGATCTGCAGCCACAAAGTCCTGTTAGCCTGCTTTCCTGGACTCAGGTGACTGAACTACTTAGGCAACTGTAGACACTGTCACTCATACACTTACACAAACTGCCAACTCCCGGAGCAGTGAACTGATGAGGAGGAAACCCACAACAGGCAAACCACATATTCCAGTTCGTTCTTTCTCTCTTTCTTTCTTTCCTTCTTTCTACTTATTTATTAATTATGTATACAGTGTTTCCCCTACATATATGCTGCAGATCAGAAAAGGGCACCAGATCTCATTACAGATGATTGTGAGCCACCATGTGGTTGCTGGGAATTGAACTCAGGTCCTCTGGAAGAGCAGTCAGTGCTCTTAACCTCTGAGTCATCTCTCCAGCCCCGACATCAGAACTTTTTGTTGTTGTTGTTGTTTTGTCTGTTTTTTGAGACAGGATGTCTCTGTGTAACAGTCCTGGCTGTCCTACAACTCACTCTGTAGACCAGGCTGGCCTCAAACTCACAGAGATCCACCTGCCTCTGCCTCCCAAGTACTGCCACAACCACCCAGTACTTTAATTTTTTGAGACAATGTTTCACTGTGTAGCCATGGCTGACCTGGAACTTGCTATGTTGTAGACCAGGCTGGCCTTGAACACCTGTGTCTTTGCCTTCCAAGATTTAATTGGTTAAAATAAATTAGAATTTGTTATCTTGTTTACTTACTTGCTTTTTATTTTATGAATCTATGTTCCTGCCTGAGTGCAGGTTTGTACACTGAGAGTGCAGGCCAGAAAAGGGCGGTGAGGGTGGCAGGTTCCCTGGAACTGGAGTTACAGGTGGTTGTGAGATGATGTGGGTATTGGGACTCAAACACTGGTCCTCTTTAAGGTCATCAAGTTCTCGTAACTGTTTCTCTGACTCTATTTTTTTCTTTTTCTTTTTTAAATTTTGAGATAGGGTTTCACATTGGCTTGCCTGTAGCTTACTGTATACACCAGGCAGGTCTATATTCACAGAGATCTGTGTGCTTCTACCTCCTGAATGCTAGGACTAAAGGTCCTATCTTGTTTTTCTAAAATATATCTGTCTAGGAGGTATAACGTCGTGGCTAAGTTCTTGCTTAGCATATGCAAGGTCTTGGGTTCAATCCCTAATACTGAAACAAACAAACAAACAAATAATATCGTTGCTAGGGATGACAGCATACTTGTAATCTCAGAATTCAAACAGAGCCAGGAAAGTTGTTGAATTTGAGGCTAGCCTGGGCTAAAGTGTGAGACTTTATCTCAAAAGCCAAAATATTTATAAAACTTATCAAAGCATTCACCTAATTTTATTTTATTTTTATTATTTTGTTACTGGTGATTGAACCACGTACAAGCTAGGCAAATATATTACCACTGAGCTGCATTTCCAGCCCTTATCCATCTTATTTATTTTTTTGAGACAGGGTCTCTATATGTAGTCTTGGCTTCCTGGAACTTGATATGTAGACCATGCTAGCCTCAAACTCCAAAAAGATCTGCCTGCCTCTACCACCCAAGTGCTGAGATTAAAGGTATCCATCACTCTGCTCCTCGTTTTTTTTTTCATTTATTTACTTGTTTGTTTATTTATTTATTTAGTTTCTTCAAGACAAGGTTTCTCTGTGTAGCCTTGGCTTTCTTAGAACTCTCTGTAGACCAGGCTAGCCTCAAACTCACAGAGATTCACCTGTCTCTGCCTCCCAAGTGCTGGGAGTAAAGTTGTGCACTACCACCGCCCAGCTTATGCCCATCTTCTTAAACCACTTTTACTCCTGAGTAAACTTGATGCATAGATTAAACCATTTCCCAGCACATTTCACTTGATAAAGCAACATGCAGGATATGGTATCCCCATACAGGGAGGCAGAGACAGAAGGAGCAGGAATTCAAGACCATCCTCACCAGCATGTGGAATTTGAGGCCTTAACAGCATAAGACCCTGTATTGAAAACTAGAACAAAACACAAAATTATTCAATCCCAGATCCATCTGATTCCAAATCATGTGCCCTATAGTCTTGGCCCAGCCTGAGTCCTGAGGTTGAAGTGGGTAATGACCTGGTCTGGAAGGGCAGGGCAGGTGAACACCTGCATGAAACTGACACTTAAGGTAAAGGGAGGCAACGTGGCAGCGTCTTGATGCTTGTGTGAATACCCGAAGCCCCGGGTTCTGTCCTAAATAACACGTGCACACAGGCAGAGCTTGGGCCCTGGTGGAGGAAAAGCCAGGAGAGATGCTAACTGGCCAGGAGCAGCTGTCGTCCGAAGTGCTGTGGGGTCAAGGCTGCCTGGCCCCTTCCTTCCTGCATCTCTCCCCCTGCAGGCTGGTACAGAAGGCAGAGTTGGTTCGGCTGTCGCAGACCCTGAGCCTGGTGCCCCGTGTACACTGGGTGCTGGTGGAGGATGCTGAGAGCCCTACCCCGCTGGTTTCGGGGCTGCTGGCTGCCTCTGGTCTCCTCTTCACACACCTGGCTGTCCTAACCCCCAAGGCTCAACGACTTCGGGAAGGTGAGCCAGGATGGGTTCGGCCCCGAGGAGTAGAACAGCGCAACAAGGCCCTGGACTGGCTCCGAGGCAGAGGGGGTGCTGTTGGTGGGGAGAAAGACCCACCACCACCAGGGACCCAGGGAGTCGTGTATTTTGCTGACGATGACAACACCTACAGCCGGGAGCTCTTTAAGGAGGTGAGCCCTGGGATGAAGATGGGAAAAGAGGCCAGGTAGCATCAGCTTCCTTCTTCATCTTGCTAATGAGTGTGGTAGGCTGCTGGGTGCAGGAGGGGAGCAGTAGGGGAGGCGTCAGTGCACAAAGTGGTTCTTCCCCTGGGCCACAGTTCTCTTTTTTCTCTCATCTCTATTAGATGCGTTGGACTCGTGGTGTTTCAGTGTGGCCTGTGGGGCTGGTGGGCGGCCTGCGATTTGAGGGTCCTCAGGTACAGGATGGCCGGGTTGTGAGTTTCCACACAGCATGGGAACCCACCAGGCCCTTTCCCCTGGACATGGCGGGCTTTGCTGTTGCCCTGCCCTTGCTGTTGGCTAAGCCCGATGCCCAGTTTGATGCTACTGCACCCCGGGGCTACCTGGAGAGTAGTCTCCTGAGCCATCTCGTGGATCCCAAGGACCTGGAGCCACGGGCTGCCAACTGTACTCAGGTGAGAGGGTGGAGAAGCTGGTTCTGGGATGAGCAGTTAATGGGAGAAGTGGAATTGGTGTTTGAACCAGGATCTCTGGTCTGATCAGCTTTTACTCTGTTGAAAAAACTACTGAGAGTCAGGGAAGGCTCCTGCCACTTCATCTTACAGACTCTGTGAACCTTTGTGTATATCAGGGTCAAGGAACAACTCCATTTTAGAGGCCGTAAAGTTACTCCACCCCTATACTTCATACATTATATACCAACTCTGAATGCAGGAGAGGGGCTGGTGGGATCTGTTCTAGAACACACAGCTCAGGGCCCTGGGCATGGCTGGTCCTGACCCTAACCCTTCCTTCACAGGTACTAGTATGGCACACACGGACAGAGAAACCTAAGATGAAGCAGGAGGAGCAGCTGCAGCGGCAGGGCCAGGGCTCAGACCCAGCCATTGAGGTGTGATGGCAGCTTCACCCTGACTTCTACCTTATTTTAGGCACATACCTTGTGGGACTGGGCTACAGGCCAATACAGGATGTGGTTTTTTTTGTTGTTGTTGTTTTTTTTTAAAAAAAAGACCTGACCCCTCAGAACCAGAGGCAGCCCCTCCAACCACAGGGTGTGGCCCAGCTGCTTCCCTCCTTTCCCCCAGCCTGCCATGTGGCACTGCCCACAGGCTAGGGACAAGCAGCTGTTGTATTGAGCCAGGTCAGCCCCATCTGGGGTGGAGCAGGACAGATGGACTCAGGAGGGAGGGTGGCTAAGGGAACTGGGTAACTTATTGGGGAAACGCATGCACTGGGGGGCTAGAGGAGCTGGGCTGGACCCTCCCCACCTGAGCATGCGGATCCCCTTCCTACCTCTAGAATAAAGAATCTCAACCTGGAGGGCCTCTTGTGTCTCTTCATTTGGCAAAGCTCCTTGCTGCGCTCTAATCCCAAGAGATAGAGACAGCCTATTCCTACACAGGCTGCTTGCTCCTCTGCACAGACATCAGTCCTTCAGGCCCTATCCCCTAGACAAGAGAGAGAGCAGTGGGTTCCATCCAAAAACTTTATTGTAGAATCTGTATACGAGCAACAGTCTCCAGTCCATTGGGCGTCACTTTCTTGTCACCCTGATCTATTCTCAGTCTTGGTGGTTCTGGCTGCAAAGGCTGGGCTCCAAGACACCTGGACTCCTCTTCATTCCAGTCTGTCTCTGACTGCTCTAACTCCTGTAAGCTCAGGACCTTTCCTTCCTTAGCCCTAGTAAAGAATTGTAAATTTGCTGGGCAGTGGTGGCTCACACCTTTAATCCCAGCACTTGGGAGGTTGGTGGTGGTGGGGGAGATCTCTGTGAGTTCAAGGCCAGCCTGGTCCACAGTGTGAGTTCCAAAGCTACACAGAGAAACCCTGTCTCTAAAAACCAAAAAATAAAATAAAAAAGGTAAGTTTTTCATATTTGTCTACCCCCCCCCACTTCAGGTTACTAGGCCTCAGGTAGATCCTCCTTGCGAGGTTCCTCTTCTGGTGGGGTCTCCTCAGGTGCTGGCTTGTGGGCAGTCCCTCCCTGTAGCCAGGCAGTTTTCAGTACGTCTCTCAGCCCACCAGGAAAAAGATAGCCCTGGGTCTCTCCTTCCCCATCTATGACTCCTCCAAGCCCCTCCAGCGCTGTCTGCAAATACCGCAAGCCGAGGAGCACTAGAGCCTGTGAGGAAGCAAGTGGGAAGAGTGATTGATGGTCAGGAACTGGGACCAGAGCTGAAGTGGAAGGAGGTGGGGTCCTTGGCTGACTGACCTGCAGCAGGAAGGTGACAGCCAACGTGCTTCCCAGTGTGCCTGACAATCCCTGCAGGTGTCCCAGCAGTACCTCATGGCACCCTTGTGCCCAGAGGTTTAGGTTGGGTTGCCGAGGATCGAAGAGTGGGTGGGCATAAGGGTCTGAGAGTTGGCTTTGCAGGCAAGGCCGGGGTGAGTGGGGGTTGCAACAGGAGAAGGGGACTCCATCAATCAGGTATAAACCTTCCACATTGCTCTGGATCCGGCTGTAAAAACATATGCCACACAGTTAGATGACTGCAGGCAGGGGCCTAGAGGAGCAGCTGAGGGCTGCGGCAGTTGAAAAAATTACTGTAAAACATCTACTGAGTGCTCTACTACCCAAGCGTGCTTAATTAATTTATCTCCACAGCTCTGTAAGATAGGAGCCTATCTAGAAGATAAAGATAGGTACAGTTATCTCCATTTTACAGTTGAGGAATGGGCCCAGAGTGGTTTGGCAATGTGCCCTGGGCAGCACAGCTGATAAACAGAGTTGTAATCCATTCTCTTTGCTACTATGTTCTATTTATTGCACGTCTAAGTGAGAATTTCAAGACAAAGGAGGGAGTCTAGGGAGAGGGAGAAGGAAAAGAAAAGCAAATCAATCACTCACTCAACCACATCTTGGTCACTGGGGTCCAGGTAACGGTTGCTGACCCATTGGACACCAAACCAATCCTTGTAGCCATGGCGTCCGCAGCAGTGGTACCTCAACTGCAACTCATCCATCAGTCGTTTGGCCTGACAGTGTCCAGGTACCTCTGTGTCTTTGTAGTGAGCCAAGGCAGCCTCCAGGCCTTCCTCCAGTCCCTGATGCAGACTTGCTGGCAAAACCAGGGTTAGCCCCAAGGCAAGGGCCAGCAATCCTCCGCCTGCAGCAGTGCCAACCACCAGCAGTGGACTCAAGACCCCTCGCCAGGGAGGGTATCGAGCTGCATCCAGACTCGCCTGGCTGGCTCCTG